TTTTTTTATGTTCAATATATTAAACATATTTGTCGTGATTTTGTTATTTTATTTGTATGTTGTTGTTGTTGTTGTTGTTGAATTAATAGATATATAATTGAAATATAATAAGTATAATAAATATAAATGAAAATATATTTTATTTAGTTTCGTATCGCTCGAAAGAATTACGTAAATTTCGTTCAAACGATTTAATAAATTTCCCCTTTTTTAATTTTCATTTTTCTTTTTTTTTTCTTTTCTTTTTACGCGAACAAACATACGATTAACAGTAATTTATATTAAACTTTACGATATGGTGCTAGACGGTTCATGTAACAACAATTGATGGTACTCGTTATATTCTCGCTTTCACTTCTTCGTTAGAAATAAAAAAAAAAAATTTTCCCCCTTTTTCTTTCTTCTTTTTCTTTTTCTTTTTTTTTTCTTTACTCGATCTATCTTTTCGGTAATTAAACGTTCGCTAAAAAAAGAAAAGCAGAGAAAGTTTTCTAATTTATAAAAGTTACATCTCCATTCCCGAGTTTGTGATCTTTACGATTAATAAAAAAGAAAAGAAGAAGAAAAAAGAAAAAAAAATAAGAAAAATAGAAACAAATAAAAACAAAAAATTAAGTAAAACTCGTGTTGTATATCGAACATTTAAAACAAACTGATAAACGAATGAACATATGAACGTATTCTCGAAAACGATCGATAATTATCGGGGGGGGGGGGGGGGGGGGGAATAAGGAAAAAAATAATCAATCGAGTTTAATCATGTTTCCATAGGTAATACGTAATATCAAAGTATGATACGGTAGCTGTGTAAGGTGTGTTTGTTACACATGCTCGATTTCATTTTGAGATAATTCTTCTTTTTTTTTTTTTTTTTTTTCTTTTATCGCGAATGCAAGTAATAGTGTATAATAAAAATATATTTCTAGTTAAAATTCTCGTCAAAGAATTTTCCCCCTCCCCTCCTCCTTCCCATTCCCCCCATGGCCCCCTTTTAGATTAATGATGAGATTGATATTTTTTCGGATTATTAGATTGTTCTTGTATTTTTAATGAAATCTAATAATATGAGATGAATTTACGCGATAAAATTTAGAGAGAGAGACACGGATATATATTTATTATTTATTTATAATAAATGAGAAAAAAAAAAGAAAGAGAAATGAGATCAATTGTTTTCTTACCGGTTCGGTAACTTGATCAGAAAATTGGACCCTCTGTTGGGCAGCATTGAACATCTTTCGATGCGCACGTTTGAATTCTTCCATTAACTGAAAATAGATAATAATAAAATACATCAAATAAATGTGGGAATTTATGATAAGGAAAACTAGAAAAAAAATAAAAAATAAAAAGGAAGTCATAGTTTTTTACGAACAATTAAGTATTAAATCGTCCATATTATTAAAACTCAATCGATTTCTCTCTCTCTCTCTCTCTCTTTATTTCGATTTATATTTTATCTATTTTTTTTTGTTTATTATCTCGTGAGAAAAAATATGAAAAATTTTTAAAAATGAATTAAAAATAAAAAAAGAACGTACCTTGTCGTGCGTGACTTTCTGTTCTTGTGCCCTAAGTGCTTCTGGATTAATTGTTTTAGGTGGTACCATTGATTTTTCTTTCGAAGCTTCAGCTTTGGCTGCGTTCAAACTTCTCTAAAAGAAAGAAAAAAAAAAAAGAAAAAAAGAAGAAGAGGAAGAAGAAGAAAATGAATACGATTACGTATAGTACACTGTGTACGATATTTTAAAAAAAAGAAAATAAGTATAAAATATTTTATATATATAATTTCTTTAAAAATATTTATCATTATAAATTATATTACCCATCGGTATTTTGTATTAATAAAAAATTAATTCTCAAANATAATAAGTATATAATATGTAAAAGTATATATAGAAATTTCTTTTTTTAAAAAGAATTGATTTAGTCGAACGTACGTTTTTACGCTTACCTAAGTAAAAATAACTTACGAATCATAATTCATTCGCGAATAGTATAGTATAGTAAACTCACGAAGAAAATATTTTTTTAACATTTGTAAAATTCCGCATACCATTTGTACGCAATACAAAGTTAATACTTGTTCAAGAATAGCTCGTAAAATCATCGTATACGATTACTTTGCCTTACAACACGTTTCAAATCCTTAGATTTATTTCTATATACTTTTATATATATATACATATATATATATATATATATATATAGGAATTGATGTAAGAAATTAATATTATAAAACRTTTTATGTGAATAAACTYTGGCGTAGGCAGTTTATAAACGAAATAACAAATATTTTCTTAACACTTCTTCATATATTAGAATATGATTTGTTTCGAAATGCTAATAAAACAACAAAAACAAAAACAATAACGTAATCGATTTGAACGGATTGCAAGAATGCATTTGCTTTGCCTTTCCCTCCTTTTCAATCGTTGCTGCCTACGACGAGTAAGAGAGAAAATGTTGAATCTTTATAAGAAATCATAAAAGATAATGTCAGTTCCTAGATTCTTCTTCATAAAGAAAGATAAAGATAAATCTATATAGATAGATAGATACATAGAGAGTTGGTATGAAAATAATGATCGAAACGAAAAGAATCCGGCCCTTATTACGATATTTATTTTTTTTTTTTCGTGTATGATCTTCAACATCGATCGAGACCTCGTAAATGGCGAGTCTCAGTCGCCATTACTTAATCATTCTCGATTCTCATTATTTATCCTCATTATTCTCATCATCATCATCATTATCATCATTATTCTCATCATCGTCATCATCATCCATGTCTCGTACTCAATTTCTTTTTATTTTTTAATGAAAAACATGAAAAATCATTGAATATAGTACCTGTTGAGCTCGCCTCTGTAATTCTTGAGTTATGGCAGTGCTTAGGTCAGTGCTTGCAATAGGTGAAGTTCGTAAATTCGATCCACGGTTGATAACCATAGACGAACTTTCATTGGTTTTGTTTGAAACAGTTGATGGGACAGTGGTAGAACCAAAAGAAATGGTTGAAGATGATGGTGGTTCGCAGGATGACGTTGACAACGATGAAGAAGTTGATGCAGAATCCTTGCTGCAGGAAGACTCAAGACTTGATTCGGTTTCCGTTGATCCTGTACTACCCATAGACATCGTGCTACCCATTTGCATTCCCATAGCGTTCATAGGTTTAGCATCTGTTCGAGTAATATTAAGAAAATTTATAACAAATATCAAGTATTGAACGTTCATTTTGTGTTCTTTTGTTTTTGCAATAGGTATTTATAATTGTTATAATTAATTATAGTGTCATGTTGGATTTGTAATTGAAAGTTAATCGTTTTTTTAATACTTATACGTATCTATAATAATATAATATAAATACTTATTATGTATATATAAAAATTAAGTATTGAACGTTCATTTTTTGTTCTTTTGTTTTTGCAATAGGTATTTATAATTGTTATAATTAATTATAGTGTAATGTCCGATTTGTAATTGAAAGTTAATAGTTATTTTAATATACTTATACGTATCTACAATAATAATAATATAAATAATTAATAATAAATCAACATATATATATATATATATAAATATAATAAAAACCTGCTGGCCATTTATACGGAAGAGGTGGCGGGGGTGCCGGAGGACAAACGGATTGAACTTCAACAACACTCGTAATAGTTTTCCTATCCGTTTCGGTCTGTCTCTGAACCAATTGCAATTCTGCCAATCGATTAACGTCGAGCTGTTCGTTTTCCTTTAAAAGAGGGAAGAGAGAGAAAAATAGAAAAACCAAAATGGATGAGTTAATACACGCAAAAGTATTACATAAGAAGATAGGAAGAGATGAACGATAGAAAGAAAAATAAAAATAAAAAATAAAATAATGAAGAATATAGAAAACGCTTCGAGCAAATGTAATAAGTCAAGAAAACTTGTATTAAATAGAAAGGGGAGGTGTGGGGGGCGGGGAGGGGGTGTTGCAGGTAAAGGAAGTCTCATTTTAAATGCTTTAGGCGATGATATATAATAAAAAGATGAAATACAAAAAAAGTTAACGTTAAAATTGATTAGATTTTTTTTTTTTTGATAGTATACTTAATTGTTGTTACCTTGGAACCATGAAAAAGTGGTAATTCATCTGCAGGACCATCGTAAATGACATCCTGTTGTCTGATGTTGTCACGTCGATAAGCTAAACGACGATTGGCCTCGTCCCTTGGATTTGCATCGAAATCATGTACCTCGTAGTCGATTCTTGGTGCTACAGGATCGTAGAGTGGTTCATTATCGATATCATCCTCCTCGTAATTACCACGGGAATTCAAACGACGATGACCAAATGATGGTGGTACTTGTTGTTGTTGTCTGTGATTTTGATTCTGCATCAGTAGTCCCTGGTTCTGATTAACACGAATGACAGTCGTGTTATTCGCTTTTCGTATCCATTCCTGTGCCTAAAAATCATCCCGCGATATAATTTTCTACTTTTTTTTTCTACCCCCCTTTTCTTTTTTTTCTTCTTCCTTTCACATCTCGATGGAACTGAAGGTGGGAGAGGTGTACGTGTATGGGTGTGTTTTATTGTTTTATTTTTTATTTGGGGATGATAGGAATTTAACTTACTATCGTTCTTCTCTTCGTTTTTCTATCGTCAATTAAAAAAAAACAAACAAGTTGTGATAGATAGATAGATAGATAGATAGATAGATAGATAGATAAAATAAAAGAATGATTCGCATGACATATGTAGAAATCGTGAGATAACAAATGGCCATTATTCTTGTTCGATGATACATCATGATAAATCATTTTTCTGTTCCTTACCTGATCCACGTGAGACCATTCGGAAGAGGTGCAGCTGCTGGTGGACAATGCGAGGGGACAGCAAATCCTAATGGCCGATAAACAAAGTATGAGATTATTACTCAGTTGTGTATCGAATACTTTCTAATAATCATGATAAAATAAATCTTTCATTTCTTGGTAAAGAAGATTTATGTTTTATGCTAACGCTCGGTTCAATTCTTAAGGAATTCAATGGTTTTCACGATCATTATCGTTAAATGTTCTAATAACAGGGACGAGAACTTTCTCTTGATTCGTTTTAAATAGATTTGCAAATCGATAATACACACTTTAAATAAAAATCATATATA